CAAGATGAAAATCATGAGATCGGTTTTGCTTGAATATTAAATCAAATTATTTTTACATTAAGCAGGCTCTTAACTTTATCCTTAAAATTGATGAATGCAAAACTAAAGTTTAAAGCTCTTATCACCTTGAGCAAATAAATTAAGATGTTCGAACTAATTTTCACTATTAGAACAAATCTGAAATATGAGCTCATCTCATTATTCTAATCAGAATGTTACACCAAGTGTTATAATCATGATTCTTAGTTGTTGCTTGCTCTCCTGGCTCCCAAACATCGAATAACAACTTCGCCATGGGATCAATTCTATTGCAAACATGTTTTGGTTGCACATCGTCGTGCTCAATCGCTTGCACAGACCCTCTCGTGCTCAATAGCTTGCACCTGCCCTAACTCACACGATCTCTCAGCTCGCAAAGAGATGTCGCCCCCATCATTCGCTCTCTCAATTTTGCACCACTCAAGTTCATCCCTCAAGCTCCCTTGACATAATCAAGTCTCACCACTACGTATCCCCCCTCCCCCATTACCCCCGCTAAGCAATATATCCTGGTAGTGTCGATTTAGACATTGGCCAATTCGACAATTCAAATTCTTTTCTTTTTTTTTTTTTGCAGCAAAATTACAGTTTTACACTACACTTGCAATAAGTAAGCTCTCTATTTATAAGAAATCAAATGAGTTGTTAAATTAAATATCTCTAAAAATTGTATAGAAGAATCAAGGAGGCAAGAGAAAACGAGGGTTACAAAGAAAAAAGATTTCCAGGAGAAAATTAAAAGCAATGTCATTTTTAAAAGAATGATGATGAAAAATGATTTGGAATTTGTATAATTTTGAGCAAAATGGCCGCTAGAACTGTAGGAAGTATGACAGCCATCCAAATCCACGGTTGATTACCTTATTTTCCAATTAACATGCTTAACATAGGAATGAAAAGCAACTAAGGAAATGAAAAATAGTTTTCAAAGCCAAAGAACTAATATTAAAACACCAGAACTTGAAAGCTGTCCTCAAAAGCAGAAGCACTAGCTTGTCAAATTATTTGAAACTATTTGGCATAAACCTTAAGAATCCCAATTCTCCATGTGTTATGTTGTGTAGTGCATGAATTGCTAAATCTATTTTAAGCAAATCATTTGTGCTACTTCATTATTGTTAAAATTTCAATATACCACTTCTCGTATATGCCTATTTGATATTTTATTTAACCATCTTATTGGTTTATCTTCTATAGTGCATTATACATGCCAAAAATATCTGCCTACTTTCCAATATATCAGACATATAATACTCCAAACATCTGTATAATAATATAAGCTATCAAACTAGGCTTCTAACTTTACCATGCATTCATCTAAACATTCATATTTTCATCATGAACTACATGATTATCAGAAACTTATTTATTATTGAAAACTCAAATCCATATAACACAATCATCCGATAGGTTTAGAAAGTTTATCACATAATACTCTTCAAAAAATCCTCCATTGTAACCACAAGTGTAAATATAAAAAGTATATCCACATTTTAATATATCATTAATAATGATAGAACCAAAATATGTAAACATGTCACACAATGGTATCACTTTGCCATTTTTTACCATTATTTTGTGACTAATTGCATTTAAAACAAGAAAATACCACAAAAAAAAGTCATGATCCAAGAGGTTTTCAAAAAAAATAACAAGTATAACTTTAAAAGGATAAATTTACAAATAAAATTTGAGGAACAAAATTTGTTATAATTGCAATTTAGTCTTTTTAATAAAGAAGAAAAATCAAGGAGAAAGAAAAGAGATATTCAAGTAAAGTGATTCAAGGAGACCACTCAATATTCACCCAAAAGTTCATATTTTAATATTTAACCATTTTTGAAAGAATGAATCTAGGAGTTATTAGCTATTTTCAAGAATTCGTTATCCATACTTGAATAAATGTAGAGAATTACAATAAGGATATATAAATTTGTACATTTATTATGCCATTAGAATGTAAAATTCATGATGAAACATTGAATTTTTTTTCCTCAATTTTTCCTCTTAGATTTTAGCCAAGGTTCCTACAAAACCCTCTCCCCCTCCCCACTAACACAAATCCCGAAGGCGATAGTGCCACCAAGGCTCTCTCTCTCTCTCTCTCTCTCTCTCTCTCACACACACACACACACACACAAACACACATCTAATTCCATTGCATTTACAACCCATTCCCCAGGCCTTCTGCGCCGGATTCCCGAACTTCCAAACATTAAAAACTCTTGTACATCTCTTTCTTTCTATAACCAAAAGACCTTCAATTAGAAAGCTCATTATCATTACCTCCTTCCTTATTCACTTCATTTTGTTGTCAACATCTAAGCAATTATCATCACTAGGTATCCATATCTCTTGATCTACGAGCTCTCCAGACATGCAATAACATTTTCATTATTTTGTATTCTATATCCTCTCCATCCAAAACATCAAAACTTGATTGCTATTCAACTATGAACTCTTTATCATCATTGTCATCTCTCTCTGAACAAGCGGGCCTCTAAACTCTTAAAGTCGGTTTGGGACAATTTTCTGCATAAGTTACGTTTCAGACCGCCGCCACAAATTCGTTTGGGGACCAATTTCTTATTGTTTTTGAGAAACTTTTTTAGGGGAAGTTGTTTTTTGTAGTAAGATATGTTGCAGTGCTGTGGTTGTAAGAAAATTATTATATAACTTTTTTTGGAAATAATAAAAGATTTATAATTCACACCGCAACTTTCTAAAAAGTTATTTTTCCCCTAACACATTTACAATCTACGTTATAAAAGCTACAACCGTCCAAGAAAAACTCTTAATCTCTTTTGAATGCATATGGGAAAAGTTTGATAATGGTTATTGCACTCTAACTAAACCCGTTTTCCATTACATGCATCCATTAATCATGTTGTGGCCCCTTACAATATTAATTTCCCCTTTAGCATTATCTAGAGTTTCCTCGTTCAGCACATTGAATAATCCCATACTCCCCATATATCTTGTGATACCAAGACAAATTAATCACATCAATATAAATGAATTTCGGCAAGCCCTTAGAAACCATATATCGACAATGAGGCATCTACAATGGCATACAATATGGGCTATTTTAGGTATATTTGCTGTACTTAATGGCACAATTATGGAGAATCTAAATATAGGTGGATTGTAAGTAATGAGATTTAGGAGCAGTGCTTTAAAAAATGGGAACCTATGTGAAGTATGGTGCAAACCTCACTTAAGTGATATTACACCAAAAATTGTGAATTAAAAACTAGAATGTTTTACTAATACTTATTCATGTACTTTCTAAATATTTTCGCTATTGTTTTAACTTCTCGCTTACTTTAGTAAATGTCACACATATTAAGACTATGTTGTGTGCAGAAAACACAAAATAATGTACCTCATGTTAGATATCATTGGTAAATATCTCTATAATCAATACAAAAAGATAAACTAAATATTGATCACTAATTCAATCTCACTAATGATAAAAAATAGTTTAATCACTGCATAACCATTCCTAATATTGATCAAAACTCCATGATAATTATCTTTAAGAACTTCAACATATTTTTGGCATACATTTTATTTTCTTAATGTGCACCAACCCAAGTATCATGATATTAAATCATGGGTTTTCAAACTTAACAAAAACTACAAGTCTTTATTTGCACTTATGTACTTGTTTATTAATATTCTTATGAAGACGTTGATCATCCTGAAATAAAATCAAATTAATTACATATAAACATACTTTTTAAAAATTTCGGTACCATTACTCATAGTAACTTCATTGTTTGAATCATAAAGATTGATTACATGAAAACTAACACAATCAAGAATGTTTATTTTTTTTAAATTATTAGCAAAATACCTACTCTTGAATCATATAGAAACAATTATAATCATCAAATTTTCATTAAAAAAAATACCCCATTATCACCCATAACTCTCTAAATCTTCATAAGTATCACACTTGGACCTAAAATTACATCTTCATGCATTTTCACCAAAATTTACTCTTTCACTTTTTTAGACTAACTTATATGTTCAGTATCTTGCTAGTTTTGCACTTTTAAAACTGTCTTATAGCTTTTATTTGAAAATTTCAAAAAATAGCATTTCTATTTTTATTTGATATCTTTGTTCAACTAATATCTTAGTATCTTCAAATTGACTTCCTAGAACCATTTGTAGCTTTTTATTTTACCCGCGAATATTTTTTTATTGCTTCTCTCTTACCCAGCTTCCATCAAAAGTGACGTAGAAAGCAGACACGGCTATCATGATAAAATTTAGTCATAAAAATATATGTTAGAACATCAAGAAAGGGTGTGCATTTTATCGAAGAAGAAAATTCAGAGTAATATCCATTGAAAGTATACAAATTCAATGTGGCCAATAATTAACACTACTGCTTGTATAATAGATCTAAAGATATGAAATCACTTAATACAAAATGTACATCATTAAAGCCGGCAAGTATGGTGGATTTGAGTGTAAATGAGAGGGCATATGCACCCCTTACTTTTAGATGACTATAATTTGTAGCTACATATTAATAATCTCTGGCTATTTCATATTTTCAATAGTTAAAAAAATTCAACTTGCTTCCCCCTCCAAACAATGGAATTAAGAGAGTTACATGCATAACATGACATTGTTATGTCCTTACAAATAAAACACCTAAATCTTTACAATTACTTGTATAACAATTTAGCGGTTAAATCACATCAAAATATATGCATTAAAAGATGTGTTTTATTTTAAATAAACTAATATTAGTGGTATTTTATATGTGATTAATAGATTATCACCTTATATAAGTAAATTTAAAGATTTAAATGTTAGATATGTAAATAAATAAAAACTACATGATATATGTCCCCTTAAAATTATTAGTTAATGCGCCACCGCTACTTCCGCCACTCTGTATTGTTAAAAGCATAATCACTAGGAATAAAAAGGGGACGATCTTTGACATAAACAATTACATTGGCACATAAATAAAACAAAATGACAAAACAGCAAAACTAAATGAAAATAAGCATTACAGTCAGGCATACAAAATGAACAATCCCCTAAACAAGTTAAATTGAAAACAAAGTAGATTGATGCCTTCCTATTTTCAATGATATTATCGTATTCACACTATCTCAAAGCAAAGCATCAAGGAGACAATGAATCAGGAACATGGTAAATGAATAAAACCTGAAATTTAGGCCTTTGATTTAACAGACAGGCCTGTCTCAACCTTCTTGACTTCAAAAATCAACATCCTCCACATTTTGAGAACAAACATTTCTGCCTCATCATCCAAGATAGATTGAAGCAACTCTAGCATTTTTGATGCTCTAACATGTTCTTTCGTACTTGAAACAATATAATCCACCAAGGTTGCTTCCTCCTCTCCAAGAAACTCGGTTATCTTCTTCGATATCCATGGCCTCATTCTTTCATGCAATGCATGCTATGAGTCAAAAGGAAGAGCAAGATGAGAACGAAACTAACTCAGTTAATTCCACCTATATATACAGCATCAAGAAATTGTACTTGCATTAAAGCCTTGTAAGTATCACATCATGCTAAGCATGATTGTCCAAACAAAAATGAAGTATTACCATCCTTAACAGCATAATCATGAATAAAAAAAATATGAATCACCTGAATGTATCCCACCCCATCCCCGGAATTAAAATAAACAAAAAAATTTTAAAAGGTTTCCTTAAAAACATTGTCATATAGGAAGCCATCCAGAATCAACAAATAGAGATAAGAACATGGTCAAAAACGAGGGAAGTGAAGAAATAGGTGTGCTTTACATACATATCCCAGAACTCATGTAATTAAATATCTAACATTTATACCTCTATGTTTACTCAAATAATATCTTAATATCTAAATCGCATCAAATATTATTTATCAAAAGGTGTATTTCACTATTGACAGGATATGGTAACAGTATTTTTTTATGTGAATTGGATATTATAGAGTTTAATAACAAAATATAGAGATTAAGGTAATATATATGTTCATACATAAAAAACTTTTGGTACGCATAAAATCCCCCATAAAAAGTAAGTGCCACCAAATTAAAAACAGTCAACAAAATTTTATGAAATTTCCTATAAGCAAGTTGGTCACATGGAAGGGCAGTATGATATAGGCAGCTACCCAGAATCGACACAGGCTAGACCATGGCCAAAAGTAGGGAAGTGGATCATAATCTTAAAAGGTTCGCACCAAGCAAAAGCACGTAATAATCATTTCAAAGATTTTATTCTGCACTTAAAACAGAAAAATCTTATTAGCAAGAACCTCAAATAACTCATGGATAAAAAAAAAGTACAAAAGACTAAGAGAAAGTCTGATATAAGAACTTATAAAGCATTAATATGCTAACCTTGTCATAAATGGACCAATTTATTTCATATGCAAAGAGCTCTTCCTTAGTCTTTGGAATCATGTCAATCAACTGCTTTGCATCCAAAAGCTTCTTGTTTTCTGCTTTCATCTTATCATCCCGTTCAGCAACTTTATCATGCATCTTTTCCTTAATTTCACTCCTGGAATAGGCACCTTCATACTCACTCCGGTCACGATCTCTGCGGCTCAATCTGTCATTTGATCGCCCATTTCTTTCCCTTTCATTTTCATTCTTTTCTTCTTTGGTGCTTGTAGAGATCTGCTTAGCAAATTCAGCAGCAGCAACAATATTTGGTGTAGCTGCAGACACATTTCCTTTCACAGCCTGCAGCTCCTCATTAGAGTAATCAATGGGTACCAATGGTCTCATCTTTTTGTCATCTACATCTTCATCATCCTCCTGATGAAAAACAGATGGAACGGTTGTTCGTTTTCCAGAACCTACCAAACCAAACCCTAGTTTCCGAACTGGGCCATCATTCTGCTTGATCTCTGGCAATGCAGCTGAAGCTGCAGTCATTTCACTGCTGTTTGTTCTATAAATCCCATCACCTATGCAATCAAAATGTTTAAAATGTGAGAAAGTGTACATAGAAAGCAAAGTAAAACATGAAATCTGATACCAAAACAACCTGTATTACCAGCAGTAACAGAAACAGCTCCTTGATCCTGTTCGAAAGCAGTTTCGCCGCCTCCAACAATCATTTCTTCTTCTTTAATTTTAGGCTTTTCATTCTCCTTGGTAACCTCAGGAAGCTTAGGTTCTGGATTTTTGTTTGCTTTCTGCTCTTCAGCTTTCCTCTTTTTTGCTTCTACAATCTCTTCCTCTTCATTTAATCTATCTATCAGATCTTCTTCTTTTTCCCTAAGTCTCTTTCTTCTCCTCTCCTCAAGCATGCTGTTTCTTCGTCTCCTTCTCCTTGAATCATCCTCATCTTCATCACTTCCTTCTTCATCCCCAAGTATCTCCTTTCTCCGTTCCCGTTGTCTATCCTTCTCCCTGTCTTTTTCATGCTGCCTCTGGTATTCCCTCTCCCTCTCCCTAGCTTCCCAATCCTTCATACGCTCCTTGTATAATCGTTCAGCTTCCCGTATTCTCGACTCCCTTTCTCTCTCTCTTTTCAATCTTTCACGTTCACGCTCTCGTTCAAATCTCTCTAGCTCTCTCACTTTTTCTCTTTTCAAATCCCGTTCTCTATCTTTATCTCTTCTTCTATCATGCCGCCTCCTATCTGGGGAGCTTAAATCGGGCTTCTCATGGTCAGCAGGTTTTTTTTCACTTGTAGTTTCTTCGTCATTCTTCTCTTCTACTGCATCTGCATAAAATGCATCATTAATAAAGCATAAGAACCACAAAACTTCACAAAAGTTGTATAATTAGCATGCAGTTGTGCTCACCACTCTTCATAATATCAATATCTGAATCACCATCCTTGGATCTAGAAGGAACCTCGGAGTTTGACTTAGCAGGGCCATCAATAAAAGCCGGTATAGGAGGGGGTGGGGGTAATGGGTTAGTTTTCAACCTCTCCTCAATCATATTTGTAACTTTCTCTAAGGCATCCTTATCAGCTTCACGATCTTCATCTGAGACAATACCAAATTTATGGATGTCTTGGTTTTCTTTCTCACCAGAATCTTCTGTATCCCTCTTTTCTTCATCAATAGCAGGCTTTAGAGGCTCTTCGTTTTCAGAAGACATGCCCTCATTACCTTCAACTGAAGCATCATCAGTTTCTTTGAGTTTCTCTTTTTCTCTTTCAGTTTTCTTTTCCACATAGCGCTCAAGATATTCCCTAGTTGCTTGATTAATATTCAACTGCCCAATATCAAATTTAGACAAACAGATACTCCAGAATAAAGTAAATGTGCAGAGCATTAAAAAAGTAAACAAGCCTAACTGCAATAGCAGAAGCTGCAAATAGCCATTTACAACCACAATAGTTTATACAACAAGTCAAATCAAATAACTTTATTCTCTAAGATAGTAAAAATATGCAAATCCAGCAGTTGCGGGAAAATTCACCTAGTTTATAGATTCCCATTCCTAAATTACTAGTTTGGCGAGATCAGAACCAAAGATTGTTTGACCTCGTTAACATCAAGCTAATAGAAAAACAGACAGAAATTTAGAATTATTTTACTAATTATATGCAGGGTAAAATAATTCAGCAATTTACATATTTACACGTATAATATGAATGCAACAGCAAGACAAGTACATGCATGTCATCCAAGAAACAAGTGTTACTGCATTCCAGGTTCAAATAACTGAAAATGAAAGAGTGAATATTACCACAAGCTCTTGTCCATCAATATTCAATCTACTAAGAAGGCGGAGAGCTCGAAGGACACCTTCAGCAGCCTCAAATTCACAAAAACCAAAACCTTTAGGTTTTCCATCTGAAGGATCTTGAGCACGTTTCCAACTCTTTACTGGACCACAAATCTTCGAAAAAAAAAGAAGAACTGTGTTAGGCAGCAAAAGTTGCAAACAATTTCCAATTTGTAGGAATGAAAAGATAAAAGAACAATAAAAAAAAACAGATCTCCGAATTAAAAATGCAACGGTGTAGATATAATCACCACAATTATATTCAACAGCAAGTTTAAAGAACAAACCCGAAGAAGGGACAGAAGGAAGTCATTATCAACTGTTGAAGCAATCTTCCCAACGTATACTGTAGTTTGTGGTTTCTCTGTAGGAGGAAGTATGGGAACAACTGGTCGCACTATAGGGGTAACCATAGGAGGTATCGGACGAACCCCGAGTACTGGAAGTCTGGGAACTTGTGGAACTGCACCAAAAGGGGACATAGGACGGAATGGAAAACCAGGTCGAATCGTAGCTGGGTATGGCCCAGGATAACGTGGAACTCCTGCAGAAATTCAAAGTAAAAACTATGCAAAACTGTAAGAATAGATCCATCAACTAAAAAGAAAGACAAAAAACAACAAGAGGACACTTATATCTGTATTATCAAACAGAATAGAAAGATACGTGCATTAAATTGATCAAATGATGTTACCACACAAAAAAGCATACAAGAGATGGGCAGCACATTCATGGCAAGTATCACCAGCTGAACAATCAACCTGAGGGGGATCAATGGAAAAAAATAGTACATGTTTTAGGAAGTAGACGTAGTAAAGCCGAGCTTACCTTTCTATACTGTTGATCATAATCTTCAGAAGATATCCCGAGTACTATGAATGATATTGATCATGTGAGATTTGCAGAGCTCAAACTAAGGAAATAGATAATTAAATTGATGACAGCACTATGGATGTTTCATTATTTTGAGAAACTCGTATAATTAAAAGAATCATTTAAGAAAGAAAATAAAAAGCAAAAAAAGGTAAGTACTTCCATGCAGAATATAGTCAAAAGAAAACAGTGTACCTTGACCTGTTATTGCATCGAGCCCTTACAAGCTAAACATGATCAACTGTCGATGAAATTATCAATAAGGACTGCGGAAAAAGATATTCTCTCATCCAAAAATGGCGACAAGCTATGTAAAGTAGGACAATCATTCTTCAAAGATTAACTACTAGGGAAAACAAATTAAGGAAAAAAAGGGCAGCTTCATGCTAACGTATCACCATAGCTTGAAGAAATTATGCATACCAAAAACAGGTGAACCGATTAATCTCTTAAGTATCCCTTGTAGGGGCAAGCTAATCTTTCTCGACAAAAATCATAAGATAGCGCTGCAAAAGGACATATCCAGTCATAAGTGCCAAATCCTACCCCATCCAACCACCAATACTTTCATCATATATTACTGAATCTATTCAGAAGACTCTATAATTGCATATAGGCCATCAGAAGCCGGTCAAATCCGGTTAATAATTACATGAAAACAGCCCAAATTCCTAAAGGAAGAACCTCAGGCGCAAATGAATAATACAGTCCAACATGGAAAGCATTGGAGATTCATAAACGAAACATCAGCTAAGGGCAAATCAGCATCCTAAAACATGAACTAGCAGTAACTCCGAAAGCAAATAATCAAAATAAAAGACTTGAATCTACTTGGAAAACCCACCCGGTGGAGGTATCGCATGGGGCGCATGTGCGGGGACCGATAAGTAACCATTTGAGCCGTAGGATAAAGGTGCAGACGCCAGCGTCATGCCGGGTGGTGCGTGGTACATGGTGCCCGGCATCATCGGATTGACCGACACGAGCGGAGCAGCAACACCAGGAGGCTGAATGCTGAGGTTCGGTACAGTCGTGTACTGGGGGCCTGAAGGAACGCCGAGCGGACGGAAGGATGGGGTGAATGATGGGGCAGCTGGCGGAGTAATGACGGCAGGGGTCGGATTGAGACCGGCACCGGGATTGGAATAAAGGTTGGGGCTTGGATTAGGGTTAGCGTTAGAGTTATCGAGGGAAGCGGCAGCAGCGGCAGGCACGGAGGTAGAGGATAAGTCCGCAGTGGAAGCTAAAAGAGACGGCGGGGTGATGGAGGTGGTCAGCTGAATATCTGCATCAGATTTCTCAAGCTTTAGCTGTAGGGTTTCGGCGGAGGATGGTGAGGCGAGCGCCATGACGCTCGGAGGATTAGAAGAAGGGATGGCGGTGGGATCGACGGCAGTTGGGAGAGCAACCACGCCGGGATGTCGTGCCCTAGAAACGAAGAAAGGCCGACTTCGATCGTGATCTGGTGCACTAAGCGCAGGGTTACGAAAGAAGAGAAAATAGAGGGGAACGGATTTATGAAAATATTACTTATTTAATAAAAATTTTATGTCAATTTTTTTTGTATTTATTATCTAATATTTAATTTTTGTATGTGTTGTTGAATCTTTTTAGAAAGTAGGGTCTCATATAGTTCTAGAAGTATATAATTGTGAAAATGATGTATGAAGTGAGTGAATGAGTTGTAAAGAAATAGATGATCTCGGATTATGTATATTACCTTTTAACGTAGACTCTCTCTTTTTCCCTTCTTATTTATATAACTCTCAGCATTCGTGTACTTCTAGGGCTACAAAAAAAGAGAAAATAATAGAAAAATAATAAGTTGTATGTTGTATTGTACTAGGTCTGTTGAGATTTCGTTTGGATGACTTATCGTCATGGATTTTAGGTGGCTCATAAATCAGCATGGACAATAATGAGCTGTAGTTTGTTTCCTTCTATCATGTAGGCAACATTGAAGAACCATTTAGCGAACTTGTTGGTTTAACTTGATAAATGCATGAAAGCTCGGTGGAAAAACTTGAGTATTGGTGAGTTGGAATGGAGAAACGATCCTAAATACCGATGAGCTCAATAGAGGAGCTCGCCAAGTTCTTCAACGAGGCAAGTCATGTAGTTATAACTTCGATGGTTATTGGTGGCAAGTACAATCTCCTTGCAACCCTGCTTTAGGTGTGTGATAACTGGGCTCGATCCATTAAGCCCAAAAGACACATCCAGTGTTTAGGCTTCTCAGATAGCTTGGGAAATATGTTTTTGGATGTACATTTAGTTCTTTTATTTTCTTATATTTTTAATAGCATACCATGAGAAGGATGAGAAAATGAGAAGAAAATTGGTCACCTCTACATATTACTAGAGTAGCGATAGGATCGCAACAAGTGCTCTACTCAGTCAGTGTTCAATAAAAGACTGAATCACAATCAGTCGAAATAATGTTTTCCACAACCACCAAGCTTTACTAAGTTGGCCTTGGAGAATAGTCACAATGGTTTACTGCTTGGCTCAAACTTTTCTTCCTTAGGGACATTATAGTTATACCTATAAGGAGTAGTCACAAGATCTCGTGAGTAAATGTAGAGTTTGGTTGGGGTAGTTGCAGTTGTTTAAAAGTTTTTTTATGTAACAAATGTGTGAGGAAGTTATTGCAAAAAAGTTGTGTATCTTCTTGTTTTGTACAATTGTATTGTACTTGTTTATAAATAAAAGATATTTTTGCCCCATCTAGCGTGTTGTTTATAAGATAACAATTCCGGGTTGAATAACTAATACATGAAAATTGAAAGTACATTTATAATCTCAAAAAACTCGTAAGTTCAAATATTATATCTATACATATCATTTAACAATGAGTAAGACAATACTTAAAATTAAAAATAAAAATAGCAAAACAACAATTAACACTATCATTATATTGATCTTGATATGCAAACGATCAATTTTACGATATAACTTTATCTCTAATAACACTCACTATGTTTGATCACTATGTGAGATAGAATCGGCTATATAATCTGCCCACATAAAGAAGTCACAATCCTCAATGATCTACTCCTTAGACACATGTAAAATTTTCTTTCATGATTATTCTCTCTACGTGATTTAAGTCGAGAATGTTGCAATCGCTAACTGCAGTGCAAGATTCTAGAGGCACCAGAAGTTCTCAAACTGATATTTTCTGAAAATTAAAAACCAAAAACATAAAATTAGATTGCCTTAACAGTAGAACGATACATTTCGACGAAAAATTAACTAATAAGAGTAATAAAAATGCATAACTAAATATTTATAAAGTTGTGATGAATCTGAGTAAATATAAACTAGTGAACAATCTATCATTATAAGAAGATAAAAGAAATTAAAAAAAGGGCTCTTGAATGTCTTCAGATAATACTAAGCTTGTATATCACAAAAGCATATCAACACAAGCCCTCCAAAAGAACCTCAACAATCATGTGACTGAAAAAGAAAGGAATTTTAGTTGCCTTGCTGGCGATTTCATGCATGTTTAAATCCAAAGCAATATAGATGCCATACAGAAGAATCTCTAAGGTCATATATCTCATTATAGACCTCCAACAAAAAAAAAAATAAAAAATCAAAAATAAAACTTAAAACTCATGGTTATATGGGAGGCTATTCATGTGGGATAAAATACATGTTGAATGAATGAAAAAAAAAAAAAAACTACAACTTATTTTAGAGATTCCATATAAACATCATTGCATAAGGAGTCATTATAATAAACATTAAAAGTTTGTGTAGCGCACTATACATAAATGAATAAAAAGTAACATCTAAGGTGTATTTTTAAATAACATAAACATAGATTCTAAATTCACATAAAACTAACATACACATTTCGTGAATTTTCAAACAATTCTAAACATGATTTTCAACTTCACATAAAATCAACTTGGATATCAAATGAATTTGAAATAATTTTAAACATGAACTCATAATTTTCACATAAAGTTAACACATCATAAATTATAAAACTGATCATAAACTCATAATTGTTACATAAGGTCAACATATATATCACATGAAGTTTAACCTCACATGAGTTCAATTTTCACATAAAATAAAGTGCACGTCACATTAAATTTATACCCTACAAATGAGTTATATTTTCACATAAATTAACAAACAAATCACACGAGTTTTTCACCCTACACGTAAGCTCAATTTTCACATATTTAACATAAATATCACATGAATTTTAACCTATACAGATGAGTTCAATTTTCACATAAAATTAATATACATAACACATGAATTTTACACCCCGCACGTGTTCAAATTTTATATAAGGTTAAGATACATATCACATAAATTTTACAACCAATACATGAGCTAAAATTTCACACAAAGTTAATATGCATGTAACATAAATTTTACACCCTGCGCATAAATCCAATTTAAACATAAATGTAGCATGCATATCACATGCATTTTAACCCTACACATGAGTTCACGTTTCACATAAAATTAATATACACATCACATGAATTTTAACCCTACACATAAGCTCATAATTTTTACATAAAGTTAACACACACATTATTTTGTATTTAAAGGAACATGATATGAATTCTAATCTCCACATAAAACATAAACAAATATAAGTGCGTCTTATTATACAAATCCATGAAATTTAGGTAATGCACGTGTGAAACTTTTAGTATGATGAATTAATGCATATAGTAAACCAATTGAGTTATGGATTGGCCATGAGAAGAAAGAGAGGGTCGTGGTGTGTATGGGTTGGCCATGGGAGGAAGTAGAGAGAAGAAGGAGTGTGTGTGTGTGTTTCAATTGAGAAAGGAAGGGGGAGGAGTGAGTGTTTGTCTACGTGTTTCGATCATAGGGAGAGAAGAGAGAGGAAGTGTGTGTGTTTCAACCATCAGAGAAAATATAAGAGAAGAGTGTCTATGTACGTGCTTTGATCATGGTGGGAAGAAGAGAGAGAGAGATGTGTGCTAGTATGTGTTTTGGTTATGTGGTAAAGAAAAGAGGTAGAGGTGTGTGTGTGTGTGTGTGAGTTTTTGCCATGAGTGGGAAGTAGAGAGGGAGATGTGTGTGTGAATATGTGTTTCGGCCATAGGGAGAAGAAGAGGAAGAGAGGTGAGTCTATATGCGTGTTTCAAACATGGAGGAAGAAGAGAGGATGGGTCTGTGTGTGTATGTGTTTGGTCATGCATAAAGAATAGAGAAGAAGTGTGTGTATATGTGTTTCAATCATGGGGGAAGAATACAAGAGAAATGCGTGTGTGTGTGTGTGTTTCAACAACAGGGAGAGGGAGAAGAGAGTGTGTTTTGTGTGTGCTTCGACCTAGAGAAGAAAGAGTAGGTGATGCGCTTGCGAGTTTGTGTGTTTCGGTTAAGGTGGGAAGGGGGAGAGGATATGGACTGTGTGGTAGTGTGGTTCGTCCATGGGAAGAAGAAGAGAGAGTGGGGAGTGTTGGGGTCTTCAACCATGGGAAGAGAAGGGAAAGAAAGTGAGGTGGGTTATAGTTTTTGACCAAAAAAGAAAGAATAAGAAGAAGAGCAGCAGGTTAGGATTTTCAGCCATAGTAAAAAAGAGACAAAGAAGAGTGGGTTAGGGGTTTTCAGCCATGGGAAAAAAGGGATGAAGAAGAGTGGGTTAGGGTTTTTAGTCATGGGAAAAGAGAGAGGGAAAAAAGATGAGAGAAAAATGGCCAAAATTACAAGCAATTTTATGCATAATAGTTTCTATGAAGGAAAAAAAAACAGAAGAGTATACCTTACTAGAGAGAAGTAGAAACCCTTTGATTCCTTTGGTTGAATGAACAAGAAGACCCTTTGATTTCATTGATGAAGAGAGGGGAAGAGGATGGGGAGATTTTGACTATGTGCTTAAGAGGAATTAGAAGAGGGAGAGGGGATGGTTATTCAACCAAGTGACGAGGAAGAAGAAGAAGAGAGGTATTTTGACCAAACGAATGGAGAATGAAGGGAAATGGATGAAGAAATCAATTTAATTGATGAAGGTTTTTGAATTTTTAAAATAAGGAGGGAAGCCAATTTCAGCCAAATGAGAGGCAAGGAAGGAAAAGAAAGGGAAATTCAAATGAGCGAGTTGGGGTAGTTATGGGTGATTAAGACAAAAAATTTGATCTTTGCTCATTCGAATTAGAATATTAATTTTGGTCGTTGTGATCTTAATATCAAGGAACTTGAAGTCAAAGTGTGGTCCCCATCCTATAAGAGATAAAAAAAATTTAGTGAAATTTTTTTATGAAAATTTTAATGTATTTTTATTAACTACATGCAATATTTTTTAGCTTAATTTAACTTTAAACTAAGTTTGATCAAATATTAGGTCCAATTCAAGGTGTTATCAAGCTTATTATTTTGAATAATTTTATGATTATCTTTATTATTGTCCAAATTAGTGTAGTCTTGACAAACCCTCAAATGAAGTCTGATTTGGGTATGAAGGGGTCGAAAGGTTTCAATGATCTGAAT